CTGTAATCCCAGCACTTTGGGAGGCCAAGGCGGGCGATCACCTGAGGTCAGGAGTTTGAGACCAGCCTGACCAACATGGCAAAACCCCATATCCATTAAAAAATATATATACACAAAAAAATTAGGCAGGTGTGGTGGTGGGCGCCTGTAATCCCAACTACTCGGGAGGCAGAGGCAGGAGAATCGCTTGAGCCTGGAAGGCAGAGGTTGCAGTGAACCAAGACTGCGCCACTACACTCCAGCCTGTGCGACACAGCGAGACTCCATCTCAAAAAAAAAGGCAAAGTAATAATTATAACAACGTAATGCAAGGTTTGTAACATAAATAGATGTAATATGCATAACAACAAAACCACAAGAAGGGAGAAAAGAGAATATGAGTAACATTTCTATATTTTACTTAAACTAAGCCAGCATAAACCTGAAGCTGATTCTGTTAAAATGTACATGGTAAGCTCTAGGGCAACCACTAATAAACTATCTCAAAAAACACACTAAAAATGTCATTAAAGACATCTAAAAAATTCATTAAAGAAATTTAAATGCAGCTGGGCATAGTGGCTCACACCTATAATCATGATACTTTGGGAGGCTGAAGCAGGAGGATCACTTGAGGCTAGGAGTTTGATACCAGCCTGGGCGATGTAACAAAACCCTATCTCTACAATAAATAAAAGAAACTAGCCAAGTGTGGAGGTGTGTGCCTGTTGTCCCAGCTACTTAGGAGATTGAGGCAGAAGGAATGCCTGAGTCCAAGAGTTCAAGGCTGCAGTGAGCTATAATCACATGACCAGACTCCAGTCTAGGAGACAAAATAAGACAGTGTCTCTAAAAAAAATAAAAAATAAACTTATATGCTTCGTTACAAAATATTCACTCAATGTAAAAGAAAGCAGTAAAGAAGAAATAGAGAAACAAAAAAGATATTCAAGAAGGTCACAGGATACAAAATAAACATTTAAAATTATATTTTATATACTAGCCATGAACATATAGACATAAAAATTTAAAATACAGGTTGAGTACCCTTCTCCAAAATGCTTGGGACTAGAATGTTCCAGATTTGGGAGTTTTTCAGACTTTAGAATATTTGCACATACATAATACGATATCTTGGGCACGGGACCCAACTCTACACATGAAATTCACTTATGTGTCATAAATACCTTATGCACATAGCCTGAAGGTAATTTTAAATAATATTTTAAATAATTCTGTGCATGAAACAGTATTCACTGCATCTGTCATGTGAGGTCAGGTATAAAATTTTCCACTTGTGGCATCATGTCAGTGCTCAAAAAGTTTCTAATTTTGCAGTACTTCAGATTTCAAATTTTCAGATTAGGAATGTTCAATCTGTATAATATCATTTACAATCACTTAAAAAAAAGAAACAGAAAACATGTTACCAGATTATATGCTGAAATTACAAAACACTGATGAAAGAATCAAAGACCTAAATAAACAGAAAGATATACCATGTTCATAGATTGGAAGAGTCAACATAATAAAGATGTCAACTCCCCGCAAACTAACATATGGGTTTTAATGTATCCCTATAAAAATCCCAGCAAAAGTTTTTGTGTGTGTGGCAACAGAAAAGATTATTTCAAAATTTATATAGAAAAGCAAAGGAACTAAAACAGCTAAAGCAATTTTGAAAAGGAATAATATGAGAGGAATCAGTCTACCCAATTTCAATACTTATTCTGTAGCTACAATAATCAAAACCGTGGTATTCACAAAGAAATGGACACATAGATCAATGGAACAGAACAGAGCATCCAGAAATAAATCCACACAAATATGCCCAACTAATTTCTGACAGTGGTACAAAAGCAATTCATTGTGGAAAGACAGCCTTTTCAACAAATGATACCAAACCAACTAGACATCCATATGGGAAAAAAATAAACCATGACCTAAGTCTCACACATTATAAAACAATTAACTCAAAATGGATCACAGACTTAAATATAAAATGTAAAACGTTTAGAAAAAATATATGAGAAAGGCCGGGCGCAGTGGTTCACACCTGTAATCCTAACACTTTGAGAGGCCGAGGCGGGTGGATCACGAGGTCAGGAGATCAAGACCATCCTGGCTAACACAGTGAAATCTCGTCTATACTAAAAATACAAAAAATTAGCTGGGCATAGCGGCGTGCACCTGTAGTCCCAGCTGCTGGGGAGGCTGAGGCAGGAGAATGGTGTGAACCTGGGAGGCAGAGCTTGCAGTGAGCGAGATAGTGCCCCTGCTCTCCAGCCTGGGTGACAGAGCAAGACTCCGTCTAAAAAACAAAAAAAATATATCTATATACACAATAAAAAAATGTATGAGAAAATCTTCAGGCTCTAGGGTTAGGCAAAGAATTATCTTCGATATGACACTAAAAGTATGATTCATAAAAGAATAAAATGACAAAGTGAACTTCATCAAAATTAAAAAATTTTACTATGCAACAGACCCTGATAAAAGATTGAAAAGAAAAACTACAGATTGAGAGAAAATAGTTGCAAATCACATATCTGAAAAAAGGTTTATTACCTAGAATATATAAAGAACTCTCAAAACTTAACAGTAAAAAGAAAAAAAAATCCAATTAAGAAATGGACAAAAGACATAAAGGGACATTTCACCAAAGAGATTCAACCCATGGCAAATGAATATATGGAAAGGCTTACAACATCATTAGCCAATATGAAAATGCAAATTAAAAGCAAAATGAGACATCACTACATACCTGTTAGAATGGCTAAAATTTAAAATAGTCACAACACCCAAATGCTAGCAGGAATGCAGAGAAACCAGATCATTCATACACTGCTAAATAAGCATGTGAAATGGGGCCGAGCATGGTGGCTCACACCTGTAACCCCAGCACTTTGGGAGGCAGAAGCAGGTGACTCACTCGAGGTCAGGAGTTCAACACCGGCCTGGCCAACATGGCAAAACCCATCTCTACTAAAAATACAAAAATTAGCCAGGCATAGTGGCGGACACCTGTAATCCCAGCTACTTGGGAGACTGAAGCAGAAGAATCACTTGAACCTGGGAGCCGAAGGTTGCAGTGAACCAAGATTGTACCCCTGCACTCCAGCCTGGGCAAAAGAGGAAGACTCCATTTCAAAAAAAAAAAAAGAAAAGAAAAGAAAACTGCAAAACAGTACAGCCATTCTGGAAACCAGTCTGGCATTTTCTTAAAAAACTAAACATGCAACTACCATACAACCCAGGAACTGCAATCTTGGGCATTTATCCCAGAGAAATGAAAATTCACAGCCAGGCACAATGGCTCACATTGTAATCCCAGCACTTTGGGAGGCTGAAGCAGGTGAACTGCTTGAGTCCAGGAGTTCAAGACCCACCTGAGCAACATGGCAAAATGCTATCTCTACAAAAAATATAAAAATTAGCCAGGCATGCTGGCCTACACCTGTGATCTCAGCTACTTGGGAGGCTGAGATGAGAGGATTGCTTGAGCCCAGGTGGTTGAGGCTGCAGTGAGCTGTGATTGCGCCACTGCATTCCAGCCTGGGTGAGAGAAAGAGCCTGTTTCAAAAAAAAAAAAAAAAAAAATTACATTCACAAAACCTGTACATGAATGTTTTTAGCACCTTTATTCATAATAGCCAGAAACTGTAAACAACCCAGTTGTTCAACAGGTTCATGGGTAAACAAACTGTGATACATCCACACCATAGAATACCACTCAGCAGTGAAAAAATAAAACTACTAAAAAGCTTGGATGACTCTCAAGGGATTCATGCTGAGTGAAAAAAAGTCAATCCCAAAAGGTTATAAACTATGTTTTCATTTGCATAGTATTCTTGAAATAACAAAAATATAGAAATGGAGAATATATTTGTAGTTGAAAGGAATTCAAGGGAGGGTGCAACAAAAGGAAGATGACTTGGTTATAAAAGGGCAACATGAGGGATTCATATAGTTAAGTTCAGCATCTTAACTGTATCAATGTTAATACCCTAGTTGTAATATACTATAGTTTTGCAAGATGTCATCATTGGGGAAAACTGAGTAAGATGTACAAGATATCTGTATTCTTAAAATTTCATTTAAATCTACAGCTCAAATATCAAGTTTAACAAAAATAAAATTTTAATGAAATTGATATCAAATAGCATGTACCAAAATAAAATCAAGCACATCAGTTTTGTCCACTGAAAGAAGTAAATGCTTATTTTTACCATCTGATATAATATGTCTAAAAATTCGAAAGTGAACTATAAAGCAGTAGAGCATAGTTTGGCTTCTGTGGAGGTCACTAATACTGAGAAATATGCAAGATGTATAACACGTCTCAAATGTTTCAGAAGTTTTCAATATAATTTACGGCATAACATGCAATGTATACTACTCTAATAGCAGTTTGTGGTTTTTTTTTGTTTTTACTTTGAGACAGCCTCGCTCTGTCACCCAGCCTGGAGTGCAGTGGCATGAACTCAGCTCACTACAATTTCCATTCCCCCGCTCCGGGGTTCAAATGATTCTCCTGCCTTAGCCTCCTGAGTAGCTAGGATTACAGGCATGCACAACCAAACCCAGCTAATTTTTGTATTTTTAGTAGAGACACGGTTTTGTCATGTTGGCCAGGCTGGTCTCGAACTCCTGACCTCAAGTGATCCACCCACCTCAGCTTTCCAAAGTGCTGGGATTACAGGCGTAAGCCACTGCACCTGGTCTCTAATAGCACTATTAACCCATTCAGTGACCAAATTCCTGGAATCTAGAACAATGTCTCGCACAATAATTATGTACTGAATAAGATGATGTTTGCTAATATAATATCAAGCTCAAAGCAAATACCACCAATGCTTTTTTCATGCAGTACTAAAATTGTATACTGCTTTCTATGAAAATGTTTTAGTTTTATGTGCAAATGTAAATTTACATAATTATCATATAATTAGAATACACTTTTATAAAGAGTATTTACATAAACACTTTCTTTCAAGTGTCATAACCTAAATTACAGTTACCTTATTTAAAGCATGTCCAACATGAGGGTCACCATTTGCATAAGGAGGTCCATCATGAAGGCAAAATTCTGTCTTTACTTTTCTTTCTCTTTGCCATGAATAAAGTTCTGAAAATCCACATTTCTGTTTAAAAAGAACAACGATATCTAAACATCATATAAATACATACTCCTGAGTCTAACCATAAATAACAGCCAACACTTGCTTATTTCCATTCCAATCCATTCCATTCCAATCTACTCAACTCTGAAACACAAGATGAGGTTTCTGAAATGCGTGTCTAAGTACACCTCTCTTAAAATCTTTCAGTAGTTTCCCCATACACCTCAGACTGAAGTCGAAACTCTATATGATATGTAGGACCCCACAAAGGTTTAGTTCCACTAAGTTCTCGTGCATTCTCTCATCACTTCCCAGGCTTCACGCCTCATCCCCGCCATGTTGAAGGACCTGCAGATTCCCGACACACATATTCTTGCTATTCTTTGGCTGCAATGCTTGCCGTTTCCCAAATCTGGGAACAACGTGCATGGCAGTCTCAGTTCCCTTCCCTCACTTGCTGTGATCTTGGCCAAGTTACTGTGCACTTACGGGTCTGCTTTCTCATCTGAAAAAAAAAAAGTGTTAATATCCATCGTACAGGGCTGGTGTGAAAATTAAACGAGAAAACATTTGAAACTGTCACTCTTTCTGGCATACAGAAGGTACTAAAAAGCCTTTAAAAAATTAGATGAACTCTTATAACTGTCAGAATATTTAGGCTAAGTATATTTACCTAACCAATATTCCAAGAATATCAGGGAATTTTAAAGACTAGAATTACAGAAACTAACAAGAGGAATCTCTGCCCTTAGAAAGTTCAGTCTAGGCTGGGCACAGTGGCTCACGCCTGTAATCCCAGCACTTTGGGAGGCCGAGGCGGGAGGATCACTTGAGGTCAGGAATTCGAGACCACTCTGGCCAACATGGTGAAACCCTATCTCTACTAAAAATATAAAAATTAGCCGGGAGTGGTGGTGCGCACCTGTAATCCCAGTGACTCGGGAGGCTAAGGCAGGAGAATCGGTTGAACCTGGGAGGCGGGGGTTGTAGTGAGCCGAGATCGCGCCATTGCACTCTGGCCTGGGCGAGAGAGCAAGACTCTGTCTCCGGAAAAACAAAAGCTCAATCTAAAACAGGAGACAGACACATACAGACACATAGTCTATAAAGGGGACTCAGCAGAGGAAGTACTGCTACTATATATTTCAAACGAGTCATAATTCCAACTAGAGATCTAAAAGATCCAAAAAGTGGGCTTCAACTTCCCCTTCATTCATCATAATTGAGGTTTTTAAGGTTTTTTTTAAGGATGGGGGTGGTGAGGCTGTCCAGCCAATATGGTCTCGAACTCTTGGCTCAAGAGATTCTCCTGCCTTGGCCTTTCAAAGTGCTGGGATTACAGGCGTGAGCTACCGCGCCCAGCCTGGGTTTTTATTTACATGTGGACACGTGAATTTGCTTTTTACAAGGCACTGGAAAAGTGCCCTAAGTCGATCTTTTTTGCCTACGACAGAAATGGGACATACATGCGATACATGCTGGTATCTGGGCATCACTAGTGACCCCTTAATTTCCCGCTCCGGAACCTGCTACAAAGGAGGGATTCATCTAGAGATTTCTTCACTTAGGTTTTCAGCCCACAAAATCTGTGCGAAGCAGATGAATGCCGCCGATCTGGTCACACCCCCGCCCACCCGCACCCGCGTGGAGCACAGAGGTGTGGCTCCTGCCGAGCGCCCTGTGCCCGCGGCCGGATCGGCTCTCTCCGGAGGCCCTGCGCCGAGGCGGGGCCCGTACCTGCTGGATCTCCAGCTCCTTGTCCGGCTGCTGGCGGCCCAGCAGCTTCATGGGGAAGCTGGTCTGCGGCAGCAGCACCGTGTCCCGGTATCTGCCAGTATTCGAGTTCGGCTGGTGGTTACTGGCCCCGGAGACCGACCGCACCAGAAGTCTCTTCGTCGCCCCTTGCCATCCAGGGCTGCAGGGAAGGCGGGGCGTCCCCCACAAACTTCGGGCAGTGGCCAGGGCGGCCGCCTCCGGCCCGCGAGGGCGCAGCCCCCAACGCATTGTCTGGCAACCCCTGAGCGCGGGGTCCTCTGCTCCCGCCCCAGCTCAAAGGGGCAGGACCCCAGGAAACCTAGGAGAGCCGAATAAGAGGGCGCACGCGCCCGGGGAACGGAAGGGGCGGGAAGGGAGCGGCGGGGAGGGGCGGGGCGGCGGACACTGCCTTCCCGGAGTCCGCGGAGACTGAGCCACCTCCGGGTCCTCCTTGCAGCCGCCGAGGGGCGGGCTCAGATTCACGGGGGCGGGGAAAGGTGGGGCTCATAGTCCAATCACTGTGCCCTGCTTTTTTAAAATATATATATTTTTAATTTAACACAACAGAGCTGTGATTGTATCACTTTAACATGTAGCCAATAAAAAGTAAGATATTTTACATATTCTCTTATATGAAGCCTTTGAAATTTGACATGTACTTTGCACATACTGCACATCTCAATCTGGACTAAACTCATGGCAAGGCCTCAACAGGCACGCTTGGGTAATGACTACCATTGCGGGCAGCACAAAGTTCAGTGAAAATATTGTAAAATAATAAAATTTCAGCAAATCGAGTTTTAAAGATCTAATTGGCTATCATTAGATATTCCTAAACCTTTCTACAAAATAGAAAGGATCTCTGATGAGCTGAGGGGACAGGGTGAGGTTTATACGAAGAAAAGGTTGAAGAAAGCAGAAACAGGGAAGGAAAAGCAGACGCCATTTGGCTTAATGGATTTGGCTATCATCTCTCCTGATTTCCTGGAACGCAGACCTTACAAGCAAGTAGACTAGTGCAGGATTTCAGTCCAAATCAATGACTTCCCATAAATTTTAACAATATTATAAAACAATCTAACCTTTTTTTTAAGATTCCCTAAATCCCTGTTATATCCCACTCATAGAATAGTTTGGTATGTATAGCAACTTCTGCTCCTGTTTCTGACAGATTCTGCTCTATTTGATTGTCCAAATCATAGTAGTTCACAATTGTTACTATTTCATTGTAGAGTATACATCTTGGGAATAGCCTTCCTAATCGTAAAACACAACATCCAGAACATTTAGTTCACATAAATAAGAGAGACAGATTTTCTACAAATATGAAAATATGTATATACCAAAAAAGATACCAGAAAGTGAGAAACCAAGTGATAAATAGAAAGCACTCAATCAATGTCAGCCTTTCACCAGTCAGTGACTCCAGCTCTGTACCTGAATTAACTCATTTAATCTTCAAGACCAGATGAGGTGAAGACACAGCATACCAAAAAACCATGTGCGATAGGAACTATGAGTATTTCCATTTCACAGATAAGGAAACTAAGGCACATAGAGTTATGTAACTTGCTCAAGATGATACAACTAAGTAGCACAGCTGGAATTCAAACCCAGTTAGATTCCAGTGTGTGTGCATAGCCACCATCTTATGTTGCCTTCCCTACACTATATTGTGGAAGAAAGTATTTGCTACACATTAAAAAATAATAATATACAAAATGCATAAAGAACTGCTACAGATTAAAAAGATAAATGTAAACAACCCAATTAAAAAAAAAAGGGATAAAAGAAGCTGGACACAGTAGCTCATGCCTATAATCCCAGCACTTTGGGAGTTCGAAGTGGAAATATCACTTGAGCGCAGGAGTTTGAGACAACCCTGGGCAACATAGGGAGACCCCTGTCTCTAAAATAATTTTTAAAATTAGCTGGATGTGGTGGCATGTGCTTGTGGTCCCAGCTGCTTGAGAGGCTGTGGTGAAAGGATCGCTGTAGCCCAGGAGGTCAAGGCTGCAAGTGGACCATGATTGCACCACTGCATTCCTGCCTGGGCAACACAGTGAGAGCCTGTCTCAAAAAAAAAATAAATAAATAAAACCATAAATATATGGTTAAAGTGATATAATTTAAGTTATGTATATTTTGCCACTTCCCAAAAAGTGTCTACTTAACTCACAGAGTTACTGTGAACATCAAATGAAGAAGTAAAAGCCTTTTTAGGCTAGGTGCGGTGGCTCACACCTGTAATCCCAGCACTTTGGGAGGTCGAGGTGAGCGGATCACCTGGGGTCAGAAGTTCAAGACTAGCCTGGCCAATATGATGAAACCCCGTCTCTACTTAAAAAACAAACAAACAAACAAAATTAGTCCGGCGTGGTGGCGCGCTTGTGGTCCTAGCTACTTGGGAGGCTAAGGCGGAAGGATCGCTTGAACCCAGGAAGCGGGGGTTGTAGTGAGCCTAAACTGCGCCACCGCACTCCAGCCTGGGCGACAGGGTGAGACACTGCCCCCTCCCCCAACCACGCCCCCAAAAAAGATCCCATCTGTACAAAAAAAAGTTTTAATTGGCCAGGTGTGGTGGCGCGCACCTGTACCGGTAGTCCCAGCTACACGGGAGGCTGAGGCGGGAGGATGGCTTGAGCCTAGAATTGGGAAGGCAGCAGTGAGCCGTAATCGACTCTGGGCGATAGAGCAAGCTATCTGTCTCTTAAATATATATATGTTTATTTTATTTATTTTTATATACTTTATATATATTTTAATATTTTATATATATTTATGTATATATAAATACACACACATATATATTTTTAAGAGACAGATAGCTTGCTCTGTCGCCCAGAGTCGATAACGGCTCACTGCTGCCTTCCCAAAATACACATATATGTGTATATATACACACACATATGTATAAAATGTGTATATATATATATAAAAATATATGTGTATATATACATACACACACACACATATATGTGTATATATACACACATACATATGCAAGCATCTTTAACACAATTCTGATAAAGTTGCTTTGTTGTTGTGTGGGGTTTGGGAGGTGGAGGTGTGTGTGGTGGACCTGCTGAAGCCTGTCCACGGACCGCTACGGGTTCTAAGTTAAAATAGCCGCAGAGCGATATCACTAATCCAATGAACATTTTAGAACAGTGAACTCTACAAAGTGGGCTGGAAGACAGGTGAAATCAAAACCAATTTTTTTTTCAACACACTGTTGCTGCCTTAATGTTTTATTTCCTTCTTCTTGTTTTCTTTTCTTTCTTTTTTCTTTTCTTTTTTTTTTTTTTTTTTTTTTTGAGCCAATCTTTGAAAGTTGGAACACCTTTCGCTTTTATTTAATACAATAGGTGACTTGCACCTACGGAGAGCTTGAAGAAAACACGGACAAGTGGTATTTTCCCGCGGATCAGGAGTCGAAAGACGCAGTGTTAAATCCCTGGTGTGCGCTTGCGCGGAGTTTCCCGCATGCTCACTAGCTGAGGTAGGGTTGCCATCCATCGCGAAAGATTTATTGACAGTGCCAAAGCTCGGTACTGGACACGACGAGGGACCTGGATTTACGATAACGCGCTTTTGCTGCTCCTGAAGTGTCTTTGGTCCAACGTTGTTCCAGGTTTGTCACCGTAAATTACTCTCCTGCCGGTCAGGGCAAGAGCCAGGTAGATAGGATTTATGTTAAATAAAATAAAATAAAAAAGGTTTATGTGAATCAGATTGCTTCTCCAGATATTCTAATTTCGGACTTGGACTCTTGAGTGTCAATATTTTAATTGTTTATCTGTGCTTTTATTTTCGTGATCCGGAAGGTTTTTATAGCCATATATTGTAGAAATAACAAGACAAACCTAGATACTGAGTTCGTTGGTGCACGCAAATTTAGAAACTGCTTGGCACCTAAAAGTAAATTTATTTAAATAGCAAATATTCGTCCAACTGCCATTTCTACATATTTGTAGGTTTGTGTGATTTATTTGGATTTCTCTGGAAATATAATTGCTGGTTCAAAAGATATGTATGTTACACTTTATTAAGGTTCTCAAAGCTCTCCCAAGAGGGTTCACCACTTTGCCAACAATGCTCAGGAACATGTTCCTTCACACCCTTGCAAACTGGACAAAGGACAAACTCCTCTCTTTCTTTCTTTCTTTCTTTCTTTCTTTCTTTCTTTCTTTCTTTCTTTCTTTCTTTCTTTCTTTTTCTTTATTTCTTTCTTTCTCTGCTTCTGCTTCTTCTTCCTTCTTTCTTCTTCCCCCTTCTTCTTCCTCCTTCTTCCTTCTTCCTCCTTTCTTCTTCTTCTCCTTTCCTTTTTTTTTTTTTTTTTTTCAGGCAGGGTCTTGCTCTGTAGCCCAGACTGGAGTACAGTGGTGCCATTATGTCTCACTGCAACCTCGACCTCCCAGGGTCTGGTGATTCTCCCACCTCAGCCTCCCGAGTAGCTGGAACTACAGGCCTGACTGAAAAAACTAGGCGTGGTGATGCGTGCCTGTAGTGCCAGCTCTCAGGTGTATGAGGCAGGAGAATCGCTTGAACTCTAGGGGGTGAAAGTGAGTGGAGATCAGCCACTGCACTCCAGCCTGGGCTACAGAGCAAGACTACATATCAAAAAAAAAAAAAAGTATTTAAAAGTTTAGCAACTGCCCTGCCATTTATGCAAAATTAAATTTCCCCCATGATTTGAAACACTACCTTTAGTGTGTTCGGTTCTATTTCAGCAATTTATTTCCTTAATTTGTCTCACTAGCCAAACGTTTGTATCATATTTTGATTAAATCATACTTTATCATATTTTGATAATTGATAAGGGAAGTACCTCTGTTCATTGTTCTTCTTCCAGAATTTGCTCCATTATGCTTACATTTTTATTTTTTCAGATGACCTTGAACATTATCATCAGGCCGAGTTCCAAAGTATAAATAATTTTAGTATTTTGATCTGGAACTCATCATTTTTAGATCCTAATCCTCATATGATCACAATCTTTATATGAGAAGAAACTAATGTTTGATTCCTATTGTTTTTCCATCCTTCTGAACTAGCCCTTTGGCAGTTGTAAAGACTTCTTAAATGGATAGGTGTTAGGTCGATGGCCTTAAGTGCTATACAGCTTTTTTTCTTGTCTACTCCAAGCCTCAGGCCCAGAATGTTATGAAGAAAAGCCTGTACTACACTCTGAGGGTCATGTTGATTATCATTTTGTATTCTCAAGGTCAGAATACTGTTGGAGAAACCACATGAACTCTTTGCCCTTAACACTGCCCTAATGTCCCTCCCTGCAAAATAACCAAAATAAGGACAATCATAATAATGGTTAGCCAGTATATTTGGTGTTTACCTTGTGCCAG